CAAACTCCACTCAGAAAGGCTCTGTTCTGACCTTCTTGCTGAGAAGCGAGAGTCCTATCCACTCAGCCACTGTACACAGCTGTAGTTTGAACATACAACCATTACAGAATTGGTCCTCCTTCATTTTTCCAGTTTGATCAGCTATTGTCTCACATAAGCCGTAGGTGATGCACTCATTATTCCCTCAATATTTTTCTGCCATGCTTGTCTTGTAACTACTATTTAAATCCTTTTATGTGGGAGACTATCTGACTTGGATTGCCAGTGTAATTGTCTTGTATTGTTGTGTCGAGTATTTAAGCTGGCATGGCTCAGACTGAGGGTGAAAAATGAGATATCGCTCTCCTGCCTCACTTTACAACTCTTGGACTGAAGAGGACAAACCCTATTATCCTCTAACGCACGTACACCTCTAGTTATGTCTTTGTTTTGTTTTATTGGAGACACTGATGTGAGTTTGTCTGGCAGCCAACACCTCTGCTTTTACTAATTCTAAAATGGCAGGTCCTGGTCTTATGTAAAAGAGTTCAGATGGACTTGATTGGCACATAATCCATCCAGAGTATTGCATTGATATAAAATAAACTTAAACTTAAATGGGGTGGTGGGCTCATTATGGGTGGGAATCTCGGATGCATCTCACAATTCTATTACGATTCAGAGTCTGCGATTCAATTATAAAATGATTATTGATGCACTTTTCCCCACATTTCAAGAGTTAAATTCATTTCCATTATATTGTATGTATTTGCTCAAGGCGCTTTTTGCTGATTTTAGTGTTTCATATGTTAGTTATAAATAAAACTAAAGTGCTCTCAGGCTTAAATGAACTACTTCTTCCATACCAACAGCTCAAAGCGATAATTCCGTGATGTCTTTTGTAATTCGCTTGGCCTTTTGCGAGGTGGAAGGCAGCTTACCCAGAGCGTCCTCGATTGTTCTCTGGCTGTTAGTAGCTACAGCGGTCGGCTTTCTCTCACCTCCTCCTTTGGGTGGAACCGTGCTGTGTGACTTCTCATGTTCGTTGTGTTGTGCAACAATATTTTATTTTAGCGCGAAAAATCTTGCATACAACGTGGATTTGGTCCTATTCATTTCCTCCATCTATGTTGCAGAATCCAAAATGATTCCACACATCTGCTTTTAAATGTTTTAGAGCAGACGGGATCTCACTGCGAGGTGGGTTGGTTAGCTCAGCCATGCTCTTTGTTGTCATGTTTTTTTTTTTTTTTGTGTTCCACTTTACTTGGCATATTTGAATAATCTGAATCTGGGTGTTTGTGAATGAATGAGTTTTCGATTCTTTTGCGACCAAATTGCGATTAATATAAGAATCATAAATGTCCCCCATGATAAACACAACAAGAAATCAAGCAAAAACATTGTGGCTTCGTGACATTTCTAAGAGGAATGGGTCAGACTTAACCTGCAGAGACCTAAACACTCCATCATTTCAGAAAATGCATCAACATGTGTCAACATGTTCAACCATAAATGTTCATATAGACATGTCCTGTGCCAGTCAAATAAGTAAAGAAATACAGACTATCAGAGAAACCATGGTCCATTTGTGTCAAAATAAACAGCGCCTTTAAAATATTTCATGTATGATTGATTCGATGTTACCTGGAAACACAATACAGAATTAGTTATCTGTGATGGACCATCTTGCATTTTGATACAACCTGACAGTTTTATGGCATATAGTAGATCTGGGCTGTCAAACTCAATTTGGTTGGATTTAAAAAGTAATTGCTGTTCCGGGGCAGAAAAAAATGGGTTTTCTTAGTGGAAAGTTAAGACATTTTACAAACTGTCTTTTACAAAATGACTAAAACAAAATAGCATTTTATACATTATGTTTGGTTATTATTTCCCAGAGCTCAGTTACTGTTTGTATGAATTGAATCCAACATTTATTTTAGTTGTGGATCAATTGTAGATTGATTTGTTTCAATTGATCTAAATACATGTTGGGTTAAAATCTTAGAATACATTAAACTACATGATTGTGGAGAGACTTAGCTCACCATTAGGTATAACATGCCATTGTAATCATAATAATTGATGATCAGATCAGGGACTACTAAAACTGGTTGTAGCGGCCAAAACTTGCCCTGTGCAAGGTGCGCTGGATGCAGTGTGTTGGCGTCTAGGACGCGTGTCTCTCACCATCCAAATAGAGCAAAATACTGTGTTCTACAATCCTTTATTGTTGCCAAGTACACAAATATAAAGCTGTGGTAACAAACAACGGTCGAAAGATGTTTGCCTCCACACTACAACACCTGTCTGTCATTAGTGCCCCACTTATATAGGGCATACTATCTAGGTGGAGCCACACAGTGGCACGAGGCAGCAAAGGAAAACATAGGAAACTGGCTCCAACACTGGTCTCTTGAGTTTGACAACGTGTTGTAGACTATTTGCATTCCCTCTTCACAACCCTGTCTCCAGTAACTTATCAAAATGTCACTGTGGACTATAAATCATTCTGCTGTTTAGTTTTGATCTCAAACCTGTCAGAGCCACTTCCAGTTTACACTCTATCTCCTCCACTTGTCATTTTGTAAAATATACAGTTTTTGCTTCCGCTAAATTGTTTGTAAACAGCTTTGTTATGGTTAAGCCTTCTCTGTTGGGGCTCAATCCTCAGATGACTCGTGCACGTAGAGGGTACAAGGATGTTGAGAGCTCAGCAGATTAAATGTTCCGGCTATGATTGAGCCTAGCGGTGCAAACCTACATACAAGACCACCCATGGCAACTGTCTTACATACGCAGATTGAAGTCCAACATCAGCAGTATTCTGTCTTCTGCCAGGCTTGTTGTGAATATCATTAAGAACTGAGACTTTCCTTTATGCACTTATAGACCCTGTGTTTATCCAGCACAGCCACTGCCAGAATCTCAGCAGCAGCAATTTTCAACAATTTAATCTCCAACTCGGCTAACATTACGTTACAACGCTAAGGGATTTGCACTTTTTCTCTTCGTTGAAAATAAAATAAATATATTGATTGTTGTTCTTGTTTGGGGTCAACTGATTGTCGCCACCAAAATCAACCAATGTCGATCTATCCACCTTTAATCATCCTTTATTTGTAGAGTGCTTTTCCTACACAAGGTGACACAAAGTGCGTCACAGCCAATGTCACAGAAGGCAGGGGTATCCGACTCATTTAAGTCCGGGGCCAAATTTAAAAAGGTAACAGCTGGTCTGGGCCAAAAGTATAAAAGTGTTTTTCATTCATAATCATTATTTCTTTTTACATATTTTTGTATTTTGACCATAATTTGACACTGGTCCGGATATTATTTTCTGTGCCAAATATCAAGAAAATATGTATTTGAAGATAGAGAAGATAGATTTCCTGATAAAATAGACAAAATAGAATAAGCTTTAAAATAAAGTAAAACATGCCATAGCAATGAAAATCATTACAGGGGCCAAATTCGGCTCGTAAGAGAATTCTCTTACGGGCCGAATTTGGTCCACGGGCCTGAGTTCGACATGCCTGACATAAGGCATACATTATAAACATTAAAATCCCACAGGGCATTAACAACAAACATTAAGATCCATCCATCCATCCATCCATCTTCTACCCTTTAATCCATTTCTGGGTCAGGGGGGTGGCAATCAGAGATGCCACCCAAGTCTCATAGCACCAGCATTAAGATCACATGGAATATTAAAAACATACAAATCAAAATCATGCAGGTAATTAAAAGCCTTAAAAAAGTAGAGATGAAACCCTTCTATTGATCTATCTATCAGTATTGGTAGATTATTATTATTTTTTCCATAATTGAATACAAATGTGGACACCAATAATTTCCTTTTACTGCAAACGTTGGCTCTATACGTCAGTTATCCACACACTATTGTACCGCAGGATCGGTGTCCTACTCCAGAGATGCGCCGATACTGATCCTGGTATTGGGTCGATACCATAGGCTTGTACTCGTACTCATACTCACAGAACCCGATGCCGGCAACCGATACCCACATTTTTAATTTACATTAGTGTCACGACAGCAGACAGCTGTGTGGCATGTGTTACCATGGTGATCACCCAAAGTTGGCAAACATCTAAAACAACAAACTCTACAACAAACTTTGGAGAAGATTTTATATTATGCATTCAAGTCTAAACTTTATTCGTGACAAAAGACTTAAAAAAAGTGGAATATGGCAGTGGCTCTTATTGTTGTGTCACGTGCTGAGAAGGATGAGGACTCAAAAAGCAGGAATGCCAAAAAATAATTATTTAATGATAACAAAATAAAAGTCCAGGTTAAAACTCAAAAATCCAAAAGGCACAAGCAGCAACGAAACAGGAACAGACATGACAAGAGAGGACGGAGGTTGACAATACAATGGACCAGCAACAAGAGGAGAGGAGCACAGGGTAATTATAGACAGACACAGGTGAAACACATTAGGGCGGGGCAGACAATCAAGACAGGGGAAACAGGGCGTCAAAGTCAAACTAAAACCAAAGCACAGAGAACAGAATATCATAATAAAACTAAAGTCCAAAATAACAAAATCCACACGTGACATGTTGGCTGCTAAAACAAAAGCTGAAATGTTTCATTGTCAAAGCATTTTCTTATTGTTGAAATAATAGTAATAATAATAAAAGTTGAATTAGAGTAGTATTAGTTTTGAGTTCCCAGGGATAACACAATGCAGTACTCGTATCGGTATTTGGTGTTGGCAAGTACTCACATTAAAATACTCAAATTGGTTTTGAAAAAAGTGGTATCTGTGCATCCCTAACTACTACCCTTAGTTCTTGTGCATTACATAAAAATCACTGATAATTATGTGTTGACATAACATGTACTGACTAACATTGCTTTCTCTTTGATTAAAATGGGAGAATTTTGACCTAAATAAAATCCTTTATGACGCAATTCTCAGCCCACTGTTTTGGACGGCTGTTTAGGACTTGGCGTGATATTTATATTTGTCTTTGTTCTGTTTCCAGGACTGGGTGTTCCTCACTCGATTCTGTTTTCTCACAGACTTTGGACGCTTGGATTTCCGATTCCGATATCCAAAGGTAGGATTAGTGTCGAGTCTGGAGACACATCACATGAAACACCTTATTTATGGAGTCGTGAAGGTGAAGCACAAAGCCTCAAAATGTTGCTGGAGTGTCACTGAAACAAACTGGGTTAATGAGTTTTAAAAGCAACACATTATAGTATTTTTAACCTTATTTATAACTAACTTGTTTTTCTCTTTTGATTGAGGCTGGAATGTGTGACTCAAGACTTGAAACTTGGACTGAAATGAGTTTGGAGTCATTATTGTAGAGCTGGATAATAAATTAATAATCATAAATGATAATAATAATAAATGAACCAGCTTTGACTTTATTTGAACTAGTTAAATCCCTACAAAGTCTTAGATCGGTCTCCAAAGACGTGCATTGGCTCAGTGTCTATGGGACCAGCCTGCACTTGTTTGGTTGGTTCAAATTTCCACAAATCAAGATTTTTCTGTCACAGTCACTGGGCTACATGAGATATACTGTGGTTTGATTGGGAGTTACTATGAACACATTAAACGCAAGGCTGAATACATACGTGTCATTTTTTACCCCTTTATTAGTCAATTTCTGGGTCGGGGGGTGGCAATCAGAGCTGCCACCCAAGTCTCATAGCACCAGTCCCTCGCTGATCCTTCTGCAGGTGGCGGGTCCACGGGAAGATGGCTCCTCAGTCATCCACGAGATGGCCTTGGTCTTTCAGCGGGGGCTTCACTTACATACAAACTTTATCTAATTGTTCCCCAAATAAAGAGTTTTAAACCTGCATTTACAGATATGCACCTATATTCTTGGGTTTCATATGACGTCAGGGCAGTGGCGTGTATAACAAACGTAGGACAGGACGTGACGTAGTCTGGCGGTGCAGAATAAGCGCTGTCAAAATGCCATCTTTTTGTGCGGTGTACGCTTGTAGCAACCGCACAAATAGAGAGAAAGACAAGAGTTTGTTCATGTTCCAACTGTGGTTTCATATAAAGCTCACTCTGAAAAAATCACTGGAATGAGGCGGGCGAGGTGGATCAAGGCTTTCCCAGATAAGCGCCCCCTGCAGGCCACCCGTATGAAACGCAGCAATTTCCTCTGTTTTTCTTTCCAAAATTGCCCAAAATCAAGACTCTTTTGAGGAATATTTTTTACTACTCCCTTAGAATTGAATGTCTCCGATTAAGACTGTTACAACAACTGTAAACTGCACAGGAGAAGGGCCTTTGACTCCAAAACAGACTTTACATGGTTTTCAGGAGCAAAACTGAGTTGTCCCATCTCTGCTCATTCGCACCCTACTGGCCAGTTTAATGAAACCCAAGAATAACTAGAAAAATCAAGTCATTCTTTGATTGTCCTTGTTCCCTTACAGATAAAACAAATGCTTCTTTCTTTTGTCATCGCAAAATTGGCAATGCTTGAATTTGACACCTGAAACTCTTTCTGAGTTGTAAATGATATGAATTAAAACACACTGCAATTACTCTTGTTATACCACAATAATCATACACTTTTCATTTAACGTGCAGCCATCCCATTTGGAAATTGTCAATGTCACATTCTGAAAGATTTTTTTTCACTCAATTTTTCATCTTCTACCCATCCTACCCCTCCTCCTGTCACTGCATGCCGTCTGCTATGTTTCTCTTCTCTTCCCCGCAGTCTTTAGAAGCCAGTTTACCCCCTGTAAAACGCCATAAATCAAGCCATCTCACTCCTCTGTGATCTATGCACAACCCGGCCTTCCTGCCTCTCCCTTAATCTCTCGCCTTCTCCTCTCCACAGTCTCGCTGCTGTCAAAACATACTGCTGTATTTCGACGACACCTCTCAATGGCCCGCTGTCTACAAGAGGCCAGAGAAGGTGAGGAAACCACTTTGCACTCCTCTTCATCACAACAAGACACAATTAAACTCGAGTCACTCTTAAGCCCAGAGGCCTTTTTTCCCGAAAAAGCTATAATCTACATTTACTAAGGTTTCATATAGTATTTAGCCAGATATGTGGCCAAACTTGGTACCAAATTACCTGGTGGACCTTGGGGATTGCTGTGGAAGTGAAAAAAGATGATAAATTGTATTGGTTGCCAATAAAATTAGGTTGAAACAGACAATTCTAACTTCCGCCTAAAAAAAAAACACATATTTTCCCTCAAAAAAGCTTTTTCCCTGTCTGTGGTGTAGCAAATAAGAACTAAAATTGACAGTTCCCGATATTTTGGACCAGTCCAGCAAAAATTGTGCCAAATAAACAAACCACTGCAGAGTTGTACATGGAATTGGAAAAAAAAGTCCAGGCGGAATCCAACTGTGCCAAAATTGTGCCAAATGGCACAAACATGTCTGTAGAGTCATCGAGATAAACTTTGGCACCCGGTTCCCTAGCAAGAAGCTCTACAACCTCCTCGCGTGTATAACGCTGTTTTGCCATTTTTAATTTCGTCAAAATTCCGAGTACCTGCCGTGCGTAAAGGGTTTGCGCACAGCCTCCTTCTGCCCCAACTATACGCATGTACACGCCTCCGCGGTACTTTGGCCAATCAGGGCATGTTATACCATTTTGGAAAGAACACACCTTCGGCTATCAAAAACCATTGAAAACGTATTGATGGACAGCACCTGTGGCCAATCACAGGAAGAGATACACAGAGGTACGTGACATGACGCACGGGTGCAGCCTATCACAAAGGGCCTCTTACAGAAGGAGGAAGTAACTGGTATCTGCCAGGTCGCTAGAAAGCCTCGCTATGAGGTTGAATACAAGAAAAAACGGACTTTTATTCCTATGGAAATGACTTGTGATGAAAAAACAGCAAAAGTAAGTCGACTTTTACTTCAACGCTGATGTTTTACGGCTTTGTTTTCTGGCATTCGTCTGCGGCTTGGTCAGCGAGTATTAGAGCTAGCGTTACCAGCCTCATAGCGTTGTGTTCAGCTCGGAGAGGGCTTTCTAATGGTATGCTGACAGCATGGCTACTTATTGTTTTGAGGGCGCTTGTGACGCCAAAGCAAACATTTGTTTCGACATGTGCTTTATGACGATTTGTCAGATTGTGGTTTGTTGTTTGAACCTGGGTCTGTTGAACTGAAATTGAAGTGGATAATGTTGTAGCTGAGAGTTGTCCGAACACGAGGATGTGAAACATGTGATTGTCAGTTGATGTATATGTCAGCTACGGTCCGGACAAGCTGCAGCAAGGGGGGGCGGACCCCGAATGGGGCGCAATCGGGCTGAAGAGGTTAAGCAGGCGACCGGATCAGATCATTGATGTGGCCGGACCCTTTGGCTTGTAGTTACTTCCACCGCTTCCAGCAATCATGTCCACGTTTTAATATGGGCTTTTGCATGTAGACGTGCTTGTAATGTAGTATTGATTGACTTCACAAGCAGTGATAAAGCCCAGCCCAATCAATGTTTGTGTACAAATTCAGAGATGACAATACACAGAAAGAGCTGTTGAATGTGATGGATTAATATGTTAAAATGATATAGTCGCGATTGTCTTTACAGCTGTATTACGCCAGGCTAACAAAGTGCTCGGCCCATTTGTAATATGCATATTCTTCATGCAGCATGGCTTTAATAACGCTCTGATTAATGTATGAGACTATAGTGCTCTCTCTCAGATTGTAATGTGATATAGCTCTATTCAGTGCAGTCTAACCACACAGTAAACTTAATTTCTTTCACAAAAGGTTTTAGTGTATTACTTAATTAATCAAAAAGACGATTTCATACGACAGCATGTGGGCGGCACGGTGGCTGAGTGGTTAGTACTCTCGCATCTCAGCAAGAAGGTCCTGGGGTTGGAATACCGGTCGGAACAGGGCCTTTCTGAGTGGAGTTTGCATGTTCTCCCTGTGTCTGCATAAGTTTCATTTGGGTGCTCCGGTTTCCCCTACCACTAAAAACATGCACACTAGGGCGGAATGTGATGAATGAGTGAATAGATGGTGTTGGTTCGGGCTTTGATGTGTGTGTGTTCGGCGTCTTGCTTCCGTCATAACCGTGTGTGGAGTGATTGGAACAAACTCTGAAATCTCAACATTATGAAGCGCATCTGGTCTGTAATAATGCAATATAAAAAAAGAGACTTACTTACTTTAAAAAGTAAGCAGATGGTCATCACAGAAGTAAGAGACTATTAAGATGTTTATTTTTATTTACTTTCTATAAATCTGTTTTTTATGAGCTGATCTAACTGTGGGGACTGACTCCCACTGTTTCATCATCTGTCATACTGTATGCAGATGATTGGTTTCTTTAGAGGTATTGAAGGATAGGGACAATAACGCATACTATAACCTTAAGTTTAAACTGTATTTATTTGGCGATGCCAATTTATACACTGCTCAATAACAAATCTATATTTCAGTGGTTTTCGTTTGTTTTTTACCGGTCCAGCATCAAGATCCAAAAACACACTATTAAAGTTATAATAGAGAATGGTGCTGAATATCTGATCCACTCCTCCTGCGGGAGGTGCAGGCAGATTGCAAATCTATTATTTATAGTCTTTATAAATCAAAGACCCTGTAACCAATGTTTATAATCATATCATTAAAAACTAAAAAAGGGAACATAAATATTATTATTTATTTATATAGACCGTTTTCAGGGGCGACAGTGGCTCAGTTGGTAGAGCATTGGCCTTTGGGCCTGAAGGTCATGGGTTCAAGCCCACCGTAAGACCTACTTCACAACTCCCTCTGATGACTGCTGTCGTTGTGTCCTTGGGCAAGACACTTAACCCCACTTTGCCTAAAGCTCCCACTGAAAGTTCTCAGCTCCTGTGGACCCACCACCTGCAGGAGGGTCAGTGAGGGGCTGGTGCTCTGTGTACTGGGTGCAGCTCTGACTGCCACCCCCCGACCCAGAAATGGATTAAGGGGAAGAAAATGGATGGATGGATGGATGGATAGACCATTTATTTATATATATTTCACAGACCATACTCATAAAGCGCTTAACAGTTGTTGTGGCATTTGTCTCTTACTCCACACAGAGATGGAAGCACAGACACGGGAAGAACATGCAAACTCAGTAGCAAAAGTGTTGTCCACTCAGCCACCGTGTCGCCCGGTGTTTCACTGCACACTTCCATCTGGTGCGATGGAACGGAATACATGGAGCAGATCAATGCTTTGATTTCAAATGGACGAAGCATCTGTTGGTGTCATGGTGTCATCGTCATCATGTTCTGTCTTGTACACGGTCGGGTGTCACTGTCAGTTCACAGCTTTCTGATGACTGTCATACATAGATGTCATATAGAGCGGACAGAAGCATGCTATGACCTCTTTAATTCAAGTTTACACATGTTGTCTACATTATTATTAACATTAGGACTCCCACAATTATGAGACTACTAAAACTCCAAGAGCCCTCATTTTGGGATTTAGGTGTTTACTCTCTTAAAATACAACTTGAAATACAGCCTAAGCAGTTTGTTGAGACACTAGATGCTAATGGATGACGGTGTGTTGCTACGCTAACTAGTACTTGGGTCAGTACTTTGGTGGAAAATCAAAAACAATGACATAGGAATAAACTATCATCTCACTTCTTTCTCTAATCCTCTTTGACCACAGAACAGAAAACTCCTCCCCATAAAAGTCAGTATCCTCAGTAATACAATAAATCACCATCTGATGCAGTCACAACTCCACTTTTCTCTGGATTAATCAGGACTGCGCCTTTTTGGACTTCGGTACTACTTACGATGGAGGCAGCTGCGGCGCGGAGCTAAACGCCAGAGGCAACAAGTGTTAATGAAAAATATTCTAATTAGTATCCAAAATAAAAGTGTGAAGAGAATAAGCTGTCTTTGTTGATTCAGATAAAATGAATATGTGCACAGCGTTTGGCATTGAGACTTTGTTTTTTTTACCCTGTAGGGAACTCTATTAATTAGCTTTTAATGATTTGTGATTCTTTGCTTTTCTATTGTTTTTGGATGAAACTGGTGAATAATAATTACTCACCATAAGCACCGGTCCCACGCCAAAGCTATAAATAATATTGTATTGTATTAAAATGTTGTCAGAAATGATATGTGGTTTTTATGTTGAATTGAATTGAATTGAATATTGCGATTTTTTGTTGGGGGTCTGACCAAGTAAATAACTGAAAGACCATTCGTTGAGCGTAGACCCCCTGCAATAATTTATTTTTCCCCATGTTTTTTTTTCTCGAGGTTTCCTGAAGACATCTGCCAAAATCTACCTATAACTTTTTGAGTTTAATTCCATCAAAGAAACGAACAGCTGCTGTCGTGGCGCAGTGTGACGAGGCTCCGACACCTCATGGCAGTTACTGAAGTGTATTTTTATGCAAACTCAGGCTGGATATCTGTCAGAGCCTAGAGATTTTGACCCCTTATCTAACTCCCAGACCAATTTCAAAAAGTACTATAACTCTCTTAATGCATTTATATTCAATGTATTTAAATTGAAGATTCATTTTCATTCAAAATATTTAATATATTATTTTCTATGATCTAATAAAATATATTTCATCTAATTTTCTAATTTAAACATATCAAAAGTTATCAAAACTATGAAAACACCCCTAATGGACAAAAATCTTCAGTCAGGAGGACAGCTTGGAAATGTACTTTGTTCTCTGTGATTGGCTTTAATATTATCCACAGTTTTATACGTTTGGTTTGACAAATATTTGTTGTCATTTATTTGTCCGTTTTTTTGTATTATTTTAAAATATTGTAGATTCTGGACATTTGTTTTCTCTTCCAAGACGCTGCCAAACGCAAAACACATCATGGATTCTTGTTTATTGATTTACTTTTTCAACTTAAACACAAAAAAGCTGCAACGATTGATGAATAATCATTTTACAATTAGAAACATTTTTATCAAAAGTTATAATATCAAAAAGACAAATGCCATTATTGTCACTTTTATGGGTTTGGGGCATTTTATGAGAATTCTTTAATATGCAATTTTACTGAAATAAAATAAAGCAAATAAACATTAACTTGATAAATACACACATGGCAAGGCAAGTTTATTTATATAGCACAATTTCATTACAAGGTAATTCAAAGTGCTGAACAAAATAAGAAAGCATTTAAATCATAAATAATCACAGAACATTAAAAAGAAAGATAAAAATATAAAATCCCTCAGTTGTATGCACAGCTAAACAGAACTGTTTTTAACCTGGTTTTAAACATTGTCAGAGAGGAGGCCTGTCTCACATCTTCAGGAAGACTGTTCCAGATTTTAGCAGCATGAATCTGAAAAGCAGCCTCCCCATGTTTAGTCCTGACTCTGGGCACTAACAGGAGTCCAGTCCCTGTGCTCCTCAGAGTCCGGGCTGGTTCATATGGGACTAACATGTCACTAATATATTTTGGAGCAAGGCCATGGAGAGACTTGTAACAAGCAGATCTTGTGTAGATAAGGAAATCCAAGGTGGTTTTTGCTCAGAGAACAAGCTCGACTACTATACGCCAGCAAGCTCTCTCACCATCTCCTTCATACACATTTTGTAAAAGTTGAATTTTTTAAAAGAGATGCCTGTGTTGACTCCGTCCTTGACTTTCATACATTCCTTTTGTTGTAAATCTTTTTTAGAACCTTTGCATAACTTTCACCTTTTTTCAGAACTGCTACCAGAAGGAGGCGGTGCTGCGTCCAGAGAACAACCAGGTCATCAACCTGACCACGCGCTACACATGGTCGGGCTGCATGGTGAGAGCTCTTTCCTTACGTTTGCATCTGTGGCATTTAAAGCTGGAGCACCTAACTTTGAAAATATATCTATGTTCGTAAATCCATGTAAGATAAGATACACTTTATTGATCTCAGAATGGAGAAATGTTCATGTACAACAGATCTGGATGATCAATCTATCTATCCATTCATCCATCCATCCATCCATCTATCCATCTATCTATCTATCTATCTATCTGTCTATGTCACATCTGGCATAAATAGGATCACTTAGGTTGTGCAAAAGACAGGAAATGTGCAAACATGTGAAAAAGTGAAAAGAAAAGTCTATTTTGTGCAAGACATATTATGTAGTTGAATTAAAAGTGACTGTAGCAGTAACTTGTTCCTTGCTGTTTTGTTTTATCACTAGCACTCACCTGCATGTTTTGGCCTCTGTCACTCCTTTTCAGAGAGACAAGTGAAAAAGAGAGAACCACCCTCACTCAGAATCTCAGCTCTCAGCCCAAAGCGTCAAACAGTGACTCACAGGGATCTTTCTTTACAATTATGCAGAGGAGAATCATAAGATGTTTTATAAATAAGATGAAAACAGGATGTTGTGGTCTGATGTAAAGTATTATTCATGAAAACACATATGTCAAGTACCTCAGCTTTACCTCTGCCTCTTCTTCCATAATCCTCCGCTTCTCCACAATAACCTTGACCTTCTGTGTTCCACATTATCACAACACTGATTACTCTTGTTTGCGAAAATATGTAAAACAGACGGAAAACAGCAAAACAAGGCTGAGCTAATGGCCAGTAATGTGGTTTTATTCCTCCGCTGATGATGCATATCCGGGATTCAGCTCATCACCGAAAACACCTTTTTTCCCTGAGATCCTTCGTGTAGTGGCTTGTTGTTCGGCACATTAAGGGGCCTGTGATTTGCCACTTCTGTTGTGCTGCTTATTGGATCGCACATCTATTTTTTGAGTGTGAAATATGTTTTGATGTCTCAAGCCCTTCCATAATCTGCTAAAAATTTCGATGGAAAAATTCAGAGTTTATGCCCGGTTTTGAATGATTTTGTGATCTTTTTCTTTCCAGGTGGAGGGAGATGAGAACGAGGAGGTGCTGAGTTGCGTGGGAGGACGCAGTTTCCGTTCGGTGAGAGAGAGGTGGTGGTACATCGCGCTGAGCAAATGTGGGGTAAGTAATGACCTGTGATCCTCTCATGTTTCTCGATGGAGTGCGGTCCTTTATAGATGCAGGTGTTTGAGTGGGACAACAGAGCTGATGGATTGGATGTGTATTAGAGTATGTGCAGTAGTGAGGCAATGCTGGACTGTGGTGGTGCTGGGAGACACTATTTTAAAGGGAAGTGTAGGATTTTAGCAGATCCAACAGTCAAACGACACTGTCTCACCCAGTGTAGCAGTTCCATTCCTGAAACTGAAACTATATAGTATTGTCGAATATTTCACATTTCAACCAACAATTCTCAATCACTGTGTTTTAACAATAATAATAATGCATCGGTTTTATACAGCGCTTTTCTGGACACTCAAAGACACTTCACATGTCATTATTCATTCACTCCATACACGGTGGTGATAAACTACTAGGGGCACATGGACAGAAACCAGGCAACCAGTATGTGCCAGCGGCCCCTCCGACAACCACCAACCATTCACACACACACCAGACTCATTCTTGGCAATGTGGGTGAAGTGGCTTGCCCAGCAGCAGTTTGGCACTTTACAGCCGCAGCCGCCCCACTGTGGCCCCAGGTGTTCCCAGAGGTTCCACAGATCACAGTACTAACCATTTCCTACCCCGCACAGCTTCAGAGGTCTGACGGGATCTGGCTTTTGCATGCATGTATGGCCACGTTTAAGCATATCAACAACACATCCACCCAAAGTCGTACGTAGCTTTATAAGAGTTCTTGGATCCAGACCAAGCCCCCCCAGGTCTTCAAGATGTCCGCCCATTCAAATCCATGGCCTGTGCTCATTTGCTCTCACCATGGACGTCCCAGACATTAGTGGAAGTGACGAATGTTGGTCTGGGCCAGGTGCACAGTGGTTCTTCTTCCCCAGGACCACAGTGACACTTGCTCATGTGGCTCTCATGCTCGTGCACAGAAGGACATGTGGGCATTTCAAAATACTAAAATCCCCATAAAATCAGTGAACATTGTGGTCTTTGGGGAAATGTCCATATGCAGCCCGTATGAATCTACGATGCAGTGCCGCCGAGGACCCCTTGTCCATGCTAGAGAGGTTTTTTAAGCTAGAAATACCCTAGCTTTTATAAATGACATCCACAAACCAGGCAGTGATTCCGCGACACTCTTTTGCAGTAGTCTTAGTAAAATCTATGGTGACAAATGCATGGATATGTGCATCTAAGTGTGCTGTAGAGAATGTGTTTAGATGATTAAAGACTGCTGATGTTTTACTAATTTGATGTGGCTGTAAAAATGTAAGTCTGAGTTTAGACTAGTTTCTAACCTAAATTGCAGGAGAGAAACTGGAGGGGACTGTACACACCCTCTGGTTTTTCACAGTATGACATTGACCTTTTCTGTCTCCGTAGAGAATGGTTCTAAGTATATTAAATTAACTTCATATTTCCACAGAAACTTGCAGGAAATGTCATCTTCAGAATAACATTGTTTTCTGTCTTTATCAGTAATGCTATTAATACTGTATAGATGTATTTTCTATATTGGAGAAAGCTCCGTATACGATAGAATAGATACAGTAGATATTGTGTTGGATAATTCATTCATTCTGCCACTATCAATATTCAACTTTTTTCTCAAATACTGTTTACGTTATGAAACAATACGAGCAGGAGACATCGGGGGATAAATAAAATGCAAGTGCTCAAATCTAATATTCTTTGGAGACTGTGGCATTTCCATTCTAAACAGCTGTATTATTATTTGCATTCTTGTGAGATTTGTATAGATTTGTGTGCATTGGGAGCTGGGACGCTTGCTGAAATTGATTGAAATTGCCCATTTTGTTGCCCCAAATGTATTTTCTACTTTAACTCGCTATCGTTAACATCTAAGAACCGTGTTTAGGAGTCAGCAGCGGCCTCTCATATTGAAATGGGGAAAAGCAGAAGGCCAAACCACTCAGCACCCCAAGGAAGACTATGATGTTCCAGGCTTGTGTTTGTGCTGGCGCTCTCTGAATTTTATATTAACAGGGGTATACTATTTATTTATGTATTTGCCTATTTTGCCTTTTAGTATTTCAGTTGCAGTTAAGAAGAGAATCTGAGCACCTTAATGTGATATCTGGTGTAATATGTAAATTCCACATGTAAATGGGCCGTGTTCAGATGAGTTATGGTGGATGCTTGAGTGAATGGTGTAATGTTGGCGATCTATAATGTGTAATGGTTTTGATCAGTGATAAATGGTGTGAATAATGCCCTGTGGCTTGTAAAGTTCTGCCATAGTTCTAACAGAGCTCTGGGGGTATTCAATTTTAAACTCTCACCCATATAAAGCCACTGTAAAAGGAAACAGCTCTTTAAAACTGGCAACCTGTAGGAACTGGCAACTCTTGTAATTGTACATCATACTTTCGGTTGTAATTTTTAATGTATTTGTTAAATTTATTAAGATTAAGAGATCCTTTATTCGTCAGTAGGAATGAGGAGCACACAACACAAGATAAGTGAGCAATGGCTATACTAATTAGTTAGTTAGTTATTTATTTCAAAACCTGCACAAAACAAGATACAAATATCAAATATCAAGTGAAAAACATGACACGAGTTTTGAAATAAAACCGAATCTCTAACTCCAGCATCAAAGAACAAGTATAAAATCTCTATCTTTCTGTCACATATTTTACAAACAACAAAATGACCACTAGTTCATGTGTATATTCTGTTATGAATTTGCTGAAATTTCTGTTATTTCTGTGCTGAAAAAGGAGAACACATCATGTCCCACAGGTGAATGGAGAACGCAGTGTTTGTATGTGATGCATATTGAGCTTCTGCGACTGTGTCTGTACGTTCACTTTACTGGAAAATAAGATAAGACTTTATTGATCTCATAATGGAGAAATTTACATTACATACAAATTATATTACAGTTTGAAATTACATCTACTTACAAGGTTGACATGTACAAATCCTATCTGTGCTTAGTTTTAATGTGGATTACAGCAGTACAATGAACAGGATGTCCACTGTTTATGGTAACATTTCATAATTTGATTATGATTAGCCAATTAGAAAGAAGTAGTTTTACATTGTCAGCAGGTTTTTTCCTTTATTTCATGTATCTAGTATGGATATGTGCATTTAAACTCTTCTTCAAAGTAAAGAGTGCAGTTATCTTAATGAACCAGCAGGGGGCGATCACATTCACTGATTTTACTTTGATTTAACTGATACGTATTTGTTGGCATATATAAAAGAGTTGGAAGATAAGTTCTGTTTTACATCTTGATTTAGAGACGGTTTTTAATGTTTTGTGGCTCTGCGTTGTTCACTACTGCCTCCCAGTGGTCTGTTTGATGTACAGCTTTAAACTACAGAGTAAACTACAGAGAGCAGATAAGAACCTAGTGCTGCAGACAGGGACTCGCACACTTTATATCGTGTGGCTGCTGGGTCAAAAGCAAAACATGAAAGGTAAATAGGTTAAAGTCCGCGCAGCTGTGGTAGCTCCCAAAAATGTTTTTATTCACACCCCGTCTGTCTCATGGCCACATGTTGTGAATAAAAACATTTGATGGGAGCTGCTGTTGCATAGATGTTTTCCCAACTTAATAACTGATAGATTAGAAAAACTTTAAACACAGTCTGAATGCTAAGTCTACAGCAGAACATGTCAGGTAAAGTAAGCTGACTTTCTTTACACACAAGAGAGCCTTCATATCATTTTACTTTCTTGTTTGACCCATTTTTTATTTAGTATTCTTCGTCTTGTTCCCTAATCCACCTCTGTACAGAACGCTTACCCCAAAGGAAGCATTTGTAAAACTGTACTAAACATGCTTGTGGACATAGCTATTGATTAAGCTGGACATGAGGGACGTCCAGCCTTAGATAAGTCTGTTGTAGTCAAATACTGCCAAGAGGCGCTGAGCAGGCTGAGGATACTCATGGTGTGTGATGCATTTAAGACCAAGGCATGATCTGGAGGAGAAATAAGTGTAGAAATGTGTGAAATGGCGACCTTTTACACCATTTCAGACGCAGAGAGCTACAATCCTCAGTGTCATTATGTGAAGAACCATGTGCAGCCCACCCAAGTCACGGCCTCCGACAACCAGAAGCAAGTTTGATACAGTCCAAGTTTTGGATTGTACTATGTTTTAACTATGACAAAAGAGTGATTACAATAAACATAGAGCTGTGCAAGTGTGGGACAGTCTGGGGAAACACCAAAAACCTTGTTCTCATTATTGTTATGTATTTAATCTTTATGAATATGTATTATTAGTCACACAAACACATTCTTTATAAGATGCTTTTTGTTGCTTTTACTAAAAAACTAGAAAAGCACTTATAGAGGACAGACTTCCGCCCAGAGGCGCAATTCCATTCTGTTAAAAAAGATCCTGCATCCAGACGGCGATTCGGATCACCTCCAAAATCCAATCCCTTGTTCACTGGGCCATTGCACACATTTCCTGATCATTCCATCCAAATCCTCGAATACATTTTTAAATTGTATTGCTCAGAGACAAACAGACAAACACTTTTACCTCTGTCCAGGAGCAACAGAACTCAAATGTCCACCTCTAAAACATCCGCTGAGTCCATCTCTGGCCTCATGTGCTGCTCACACACTTCTCACTAAATTATACTTGTGTTTTACTCTGTAAATGACCGCTCCTGTAAGAGGAGGACGAGCACAAACCTTTCCTCTTATTTGTTTCCTTCCACAGCAAACAGGAAGCAAGGTTTATGAGAAGACACATAACCAGATGCTAGAGACAATGTATAAATGACAGCATTGTTCTGTACTGTTTCAAAGCTACAAATACATTTCCAATTTTACCAATTTTATTTGGTAAAACAATTTGAACCTTGAAAAAAGTGAAATAGGCAGATGACATTTCTGCTGCTATCTTAAACCTGTTCAGTAAAGACAGACTCATAAATGAACACGTCTCTACTCTCACGCTTTCTGTTATTTATCTACCCCTAATGGAAAAAGAGAA